CTGCTGCTGTTATGGATATCTAGTAGAGTCAGATGAAAAATAATTTGATCTCTCCAAAAAATTAGTCTCCCTCTAGCCCTTGTCCATTAGTGAATCGACATGGAATTAGTTGTTAAGGCTCTGCAGCTGACACCTTCAAAGATGGCACATTTCTGAAGGGCTGGGAGAGACCCCGGTGAGTGTGAGAGAGGGTGTATTTGTCTCCTACTGCTTCCATAAACAGTCACCACACGTTTAGCAACTTAAAACAATACCCCTTTATTATCTCCACACAGTTCTATATGTTAGAGCCCAAAATGGGTCTCACAGCACAAAGATCAAGGAGTTGGCAGGGCTGCATTCCTTTCTGAGACTTTGGGAAGAATCCACCTCTGAGCTTATTTAGGTTGTCGGCAAAATTTAGTTCCTTGCAGTTGTGAGACTTGAGTGCCTTGCTGGCTGTCAGTGGGGGCTATCCTTATCTCCTGGAGGCCATTGCCAGTCCTTGTGTGTGGCCTCCTACATCTCAGAACAGCAGCGGTGCATGGAATCCTTCTCACGCTTGCAGTCTGTCTAGCTTGCCCTTCTGGGACATCTCTCTTCTGCCGTCCTCTGCTTCCTCCAGCTGGAGACGGTTCTCTGCTGTTAAGTGCTCACATTATTAGATTGGGCCCACCTGGGTAATCCAGGATAATTTCCCTGTTTTAAGGTTTGGAACCTTAATTGCATCCTCAAAGTCCCTTTAGTCATGTAACATAACACATTCACCGGGTCCAAGGATTACCGTGTGGACATTTTATTTGGGAGCCATTATTCTGCCCACCACAAGGGGGTGGTAGCATTGGGCATCAGGCAGCAGGAAAGAAGGGAGGGGAATAGACTAGAAAAGGGAAGCTGTGCTGTGGGCAGGAGGGGAGATTGGGGAGCTCGAGTGAAGAAAGAGGCCCTAGCCAGAGAGGGGCTCCTACTGCCTCGCTTTTTCTTTCCTGTTTTCCTCCTGTCTCAAATTAAAGAACTAACATTTATGAGTGAGATATCTGAGAGCAAATATTAAAAGCAACTCAGAGCTACTATGGAAAACAGTATGGTGGTTCCTCAACAAATTAAAAATAGAATTACCGTATGATCCAGCAATCCCATTTCTGGATAAGTATCCTAAGAATTGAAAGCAGGATCTTGAAGAGATATTTGCACACTTGTGTTCATAGCAGCATTATTCACAATAGCTAAAAGCTGGAAGCAACCCAAGTGTCCGTTGATGGACGAATAGTTAAACAAAATGTGGGGTATGCATATTGTGCAATATTTAGCCTTTAAAAGGAAGGAAATTCTGACATATGCTGCAACATAGATGAACCCTGAGGACATTATGCTAAGAGAAAAAAGCCAGTAATAAGAAGACAAAATACTGTATGATTCCATTTATATGAGGTATCTGAAGTAGTCAGATTCATAGAAGCAGAAAACAGAATTGTAGTTGCCAGGGTCTGTGGGGAGGGGGAGAGGGGAATTTGTTGCTTAATGGATATAGAGTTCTAGTTCCACACAATGAAAAAGTCAAGTTCTGGAGATCTGTTTTACAACAATGTGAATATTCTCACCACTGCTGAACTGTACACTTAAAAATGTTTAAAGTGGTAAATTTTATGTTACACTTTTTTTTAACCACAATTTTAAAAACTCTCAGATTTCTGTAAATACTCCTCTCACTGTTTTATCTGTTCTCTTTTTCCCTCTTAACACGAAAGCACATACACACCCAAACACAAATGAGCAATCAGTCCATGCGTTTCTATAACATGGTTGATCGTTTGTGTTTACCAGTGTATGGTGAGTTTATTAGAGTGATATGAT